GAAACTTGTGCTTGTACTGGAGTTTCAAAGTCCTCCCCATCTTGATCTAACATTAGATAGAAAAACATTCACAATAGATCACTTTATAAATATTCCAAATTAAAACAATAAGTATGAAAATTGAAATTATAAACTCATAAGAAAAAGCATTTCCTTATCAGACAATCCAAAATATATAAATTAATAGTCAACTAACCGATATCAATTTCAGTATCCTCGAATGAATTTTCTATAGCTTTAAGAATTGTAGTAGCCTGTGTCTCAGAACCCTCATCAAAGGAGTAGTCTTCCTGGTTATTATCTGTTAAAGCAAATAAAATAACTTTAAAAGTAACCACTTTTTATATATTTGTTATGCAGTGCCAGAAATTCCTGAACGGATGCATTTAGTGCGAACTATAACAAGGGCGAATTTATCGTCGCCGTTCATGTATTTGTTTGTTTTAAATGCAAAAAATGCTCTTGATTACTAAGGTCCTGAAAGGTTTTTAGTACTTTTTGATAATTACTCCATGTTTGAATTACAGTCTTGGTAACACCGGCTACCAAGATGGCCGCTAACAAATTCAGCTTAAAAAAGAAGAAAGTGTATGTTTTACTAGAGTGCACGAGAAGCACACACACAAGACAAGTGACCATTATTTTTTTCACGGTAAACAAAGTGGGGTGGCTAGCCACCCTATTCACCACTCCCACCCCCCCCCTTCCCCAGATCCGCCACTGGTTGGGGTTCTCTATTTAAAAAAGCAAATTATATTTGTAATTGAGTTATGCTACTCACTTATCTATTCTGGAACTGTTGTGTGTCCCCTTCCCCTTTGAAAATGTCAAATTTTTAGCTCAAAAATAGGAAATTTTGAAGTAATTCGTATAAAACTCGCACAGGTTGTTTTTCGCTCAAGTGGATCTTCTTCCGCTGAAACTAGCATCCGCTCGAAAAAAATTCCGCTCGAATTGGCCTTCGCTCAAAGTGGCATCTGCTCGAATTGACTGGTTTATGTAAAGTGACTCTTTTATTGTAATAATTATTATACAGTGAACAAACCTTCCTCTTCCTCCAAAGAGCATGTATCAGCTGCAACTCGTTCCTTGTAGTAAGGCACT